CAAGGAGCAGAGAAGAAAACTTTCAAAGAGTCAATGTATTTTCTCTATATAATCAACAGAGCCCCGCCCTATCACTAGAACACCTGACCCTAGGGCCATAAAATTCTTAATTTTGGAAGAGGTATTCTTGCTCATCATAACTATGTATAATTAGTTTATTTCATTCCTAGGAGCAGAGAAAAAAAATTTCAAAGAATTCATGTATTTTCACTATATAATCTATAGAGCCCTGCCCTAACACCAGAACCCCTGACCCAGGGGCCATAAAATTCACAATTTTGGTAAAGGCACTCTTGCTCATCATAACTATGCAATTATGTGATTTATTTAATACCCAGGAGCAGAGAAGAAGATTTTCAAAGAATTCATGTATTTTCACTATTATAATCTATAGAGCCCCACCCTTACACCAGAACCCCTAACCCTGGGGTCATAAAATTCACAATTTTGGTAGAGGCACTCTTGCTTATCATAACTATGTACTTAGTAGGTTTATTTAATACCCAGTAGCAATCATGCATTTTCACTATATACTTATTTGGCCCCGCCCTAGCACTAGAACCCATGACCCCTGGGCCATGAATTTCACAATTTTGGTAGAGGACTCAATGAGGAAAAATGACCTTATAAAAAGTGATCCAGTTACATGTGCAAGGTATTTTGACTTTCGTCTGCAGATGTTTTTAGATAAAGTTTTAAAACATGAAAGTGCACCAGTAGGTAAAATTATAGATCTTAATTGTTTAAAAGATATTTTGTTCACATTTCATTTCTTGATGATCAAAACTTGGTCTAGCAGATGAGATCGGTTCTTTCATAGATAAGTATGTTACTTGTAAGAAAAATGCTAGTATACCAGGTTTAGTAAATTATCAAACCCATAGACATGCGCGCACATGTAGGAAAAAAGGCAAGTCTATTTGTAGATTTGAATTTCCTCTTCCCCCTTTAGACAAAACTATGATATTAGAAGGATTAGAGGGCAATGAGAACTCTGAGGAAGTTTGTGTTGCACAAAAGAATTTTCAAAAATAATGGCTTTTCTAAACTGCCAAAAACCTAGGGATGTTTGTGATTTAAGTTTTGGCGATTTCTTGCATGCACTGAAATTAAAATACAAGGAGTACATCTTAGCTTTAAGGAGGCTGGAGGGTCAACAAATAAATCCAAAATTAACCACCAGATTTAACTAATATTTTTAGATATGGTATCTTTAGCTTTCAACTATTATTTGACAAAGAAAAAATTCAAAGATTTTAGCTTTAAAATTTCATCATTTTTAGCTCTACAAGGAGCATAGCTTATGCGATAGTAAATTCATCCAGTTGTCTGTATATAACCGTCTGTAAACAATTTTTCAAAATGCTACTCCTCCTACAGTTTTGGTCTGATTTCAATATAACTTGGCACACAAGTAGACTACACTAAGATACATAATTCTGTGTATCGGTTTTTGATTTGATGAATACCGTGGTTACTAAAAATAGAAATTTCTGTGAAATTCTTTCAAAATGCTACTTCTCCTACAGTTTTGGTCTGATTTCAATATAACTTGGCACACAAGTAGACTATACTAAGATACATAATTCTGTATATCGATTTTTGATTTGGATGAACGATGTTGCCGTGGTTACTAAAAATAGAAATTTCTGTGAAATTCTTTCAAAATGCTACTTCTCCTACAGTTTTGGTTTGTTTTCAATATCACTTGGCACACAAGTAGAAAAAAATTTCATAATTCTGTGTATTTTTTGATTATATAACGGTGTTGCCATGGTTACTAAAAATAGAAATTTCTGCGAAATTCTTTAAAATGCTACACAGTTTTGGTCTGATTTCAATATAACTTGGCACACAAGTAGACTACACTAAGATACATAATTCTGTGTATCGGTTTTTGATTTAATGAACGGTGTTGTCAGGTTACTAAAAATAGAAATTTCTGTGAATTTCTCAAAATGCTATTCTCCTATTTTGGTCTGATTTCAATATAACTTGGCACACAAGTTACTACACTAAGAACATAATTCTGTGTATCGGTTTTTGATTTGGATGAATGTTGCCGTGGTTACTAAAAATAGAAATTTCTGTGAAATTCTTATCATAATGCTACTCCTCCTACAGTTTTGGTTTATTTCAATTTAACTTGGCACACAAGTAGCAATCATAATTTGTATATCGGTTTTTGATTTGGATGAACGGTGTTGCCGTAGCACTAAAAATAGAAATTTCTGTGAAATTCTTTCAAAATGCTACTCCTCACAGTTTTGGTAGAGATTTTAATATAATCGGCAACAAGTAGACTACACTATAAAAATTCTGTGTATCCAGGTTACAAAAATAGAAATTTCTGTGAAATTCTTTCAAAATGCTACTCCTCCTACAGTTTTGGTCTAATTTCAAAAACATGACACACAAGTAGAACACACTAAGGTACATAAATCTATTTATCAGTTTTTGATTTGGATGAACTGTGTTGACGTGCTTCTAAAAATAGATTTCTGTGAAATTCTTTCAAAATGCTATGTTCACATTTTTGGTCTGATTCAATGTAACTTGGCACACAAAACTTGGTCAAATTCTGTGTATCGGTTTTTGATTTGGATGAACGGTGTTGCTTTGGTTACTAGATAAGTATGTAATTTCTGTGAAATTCTAAAATGCTACTCCTCCTACAGTTTTGTTGATTTCAATATAATTACACAAACCCACTAAGCGCGCACATAATTCTGTGTATAGAAAAAAGGCAAGTCTAAAAATAGAAATTTCTGTTTGAATACACTCAAAATGCTACTCAAAACAGTATTATATTTATAATGATAATGTGGGCAATAGACTACACTAAAACATAAAGAGACGAAATCAAAGATCATTTTTCTATTAATTGCTGTTGAAAAGTTTCAATTTTCAAAAATACTTTTCTTTTCTATAACTGCCAAAAACCTAGGGATGTTTGTGATTTAATCTTTATATGGAGCTTTCCTTTTAAAGGATGCACTGAAATTAAAAAATGGCTGTGAAGCTTTAAGGTCAAATATAAAGTCTGGTCAGAAAATGGTGTTTCTTAAACGAAATGTGTCTGAAATCAGAATAAATAATTACAATGAATTGCACATTAAATGCTGGGAAGCCAATATGGACATACAATACATTCTTGACCCTTATGCATGTGTAGCATATATAGTTTCCTACATTTCAAAAGGACAACGTGGTATGTCCCAACTGCTCAGTAGTGCTTGTAAAGAGACAAAGCGTTCAGAAAGTGATATAAAACAACAGGTTCGTAAAATAGGGAACACTTTCTTGAGCCATGTTGATGTAGGGGCTCAGGAAGCCTGTTACCTGGTGCTTCAAATGCCATTAAGAAGATCCTCAAGAGAAGTTATATTTGTAAACAATGAGGATGATAGAGTAATTTTTGTAAAATCCAAGTCTGCATTGGAAGAACTACCAAAATCCTCAACATCAATAGAATCAGATAACAATATTTACAGATATCAAAGAAGACCCTCATCTATGAACAAATACAATTTAGCAGATTTTATAGCTCTTTTTAATTTCACAGCAAACAAATCTCCTAAACAAAGAGGAAAATTCTGCCAATGAAGAATTGCCAGAAAGTTCCTATGATGTAAACATTGAAGATGATGTTGAGTTGCCTGAAATTGATGAAATGGCAGAAGAACACGTGTTTAAAGATGGTTCTGTATTGGTGAAGCGTTCTGTTCCTAGAGTTTTATACTCCGTTGGCTTCAATAAAGACAATGATATTGAAAATTTCTATCGAGAACAACTAATGTTGTATATTCCCTGGCGGAAATATGCAGACATTTTGGGAGGGTCTTTAAGTTTTGAAGCAAGGTACAAAGAGAATGAAGAAAGAATTCAAATTAATAGAAAGAGTTATATGTTGATGATTCTGCTGCCAATATTTGCCAACTTGAAAAAGAATTCATATCTGATGAGGTAGTAGCTGCAGATCTGTAGCTATCCGAAAAAATATATATTGATAGACCGAATAGCTACAGTGCCACCCATTGAAAAAACTGTATATTTATTGCGCACAAAAAAGTGCGCTCGGTTTTCGATTTATTTCTCCATGTTCCTAAAACTGTAATCTCAAAATATTACTAACCGTGTGTTCCTCACATATTCTTTGACTCTTTCCACAACAAAACATTCGTCATAATTGTTGTTAATAGTCCTCCTGACCCTGATATTGTAATCATCGAACATTTCGATTATATTTCCTGCCATTTTGGTTTCAAAGATAATTCGGTCCAATATGCTTCGTTCAGATGTCAACTACGCATGTTCTTGATAGAGGAGAGAGAAACTTTTTAAAATCTTCCCTCTTTTGCAATCGAGGTAAGAATTTGGAAGAAATAATGTGATGCAAATGAAGGTTCACACCAGTCAAATGATTTTGAATGTTTTAATCCAGGAAAAACTCCAGAAAATAGCCAATATGATCATGCATTAGATTTAAACATTGGAAGAAAGCAAATTTTAGAAGATGATTATGTAACTGGAGAAATGAATGATGATGAATTTAGACAATTGGTTCAGAAATTGAATATTAAACAGAAAGTGTGTTTTGCACTGGATAAAAACTAAGAAAGACCCAATTTATCATTTTCTAAGTGGAGGTGCGGGTGTTGGTAAAAGTGTATTGCTTAGAGCACTCTATCAAGCTCTGATAAAGTATTTCTCACATAAAGCAGGAAAAAACCTTATGAAACAAAAGTTATAATCTGTGCACCAACAGGAAAAGCAGCTTTCATTCTGTTTTTAACATTCCTGCAGAACATGGTTTCAACTATAAACCATTAGATATGCAACAGCTGGGAACTTTTCAATCGAAATTTAAGTCATTAAAAGTGGTATTTATCGATGAAATCTCAATGGTCGGGAGGAAAATGTTTAATTATATTAATTTACGTCTTCAAGAAATTTATTTAGAAATGATGATTCTTGCTGTACTGTTGTATATTCTCAGTTGCTTCCAAATGTGTTCAGAGTAGACAATATTTTAAATGTAGAATTAACATATGGACATATTGTTCATAAAAATTCAAAGATAAATATCTGCTTTGTCTACTGTTCTCCAAAGTTTGCATCTTTTGATCTGTATAAGAGAATTCTCGCTAAATAGCATAGCAAATATGATCTTGGAAAACCACATATTATCATGGGAGACTTTAATTTAGATTTTAATAATGTAAAAATGCTTCCAAGTCATTTAAGGTCAGCGTATTCTCTGTACCAATTGATTGACTACACTATAACAAACTATAATTCAATCTTAGACCATATATATACAAATGTTGATAGAGGTCAAATTCATTCCACTGGAACGATAGAATCGTATTTCTCAGATCATAAACCAATTTTCATTGCTTTGAAGTAATTTGGAAAAAAATCAAAATGAAGCATATTTTCATGTACTTTTTTTCTCCCCATAAATGAAAACCCTGAGGGAAATTTTCGATGACAGTGGGGCAGCAATTACACCTTATAACACAGCTCTGAAGGTCAAAATATGTGGTTTGGGACAAATCTCAACATACAGAAATGCAAGTGGGGAGCAAACGCAGTCCCTTCCCATGGGGATTGCTGACAGAACCATGGCAGCTAAAGGAATGGTGTATGATGTGTCAAAGGCCAGTTCGCTCAAAGTGGCAAGCACTGTGATGCTTCTCAATGTCATCATCAAGAGGGAAAGTAGAGCCATTGTGATGACTAACAGATCAAAACTGTTGATGACAGGGCCCTTTGCAGAGGCGATCCCAGCTCAGCTAGTACAACAAGGCCTGGAATTGGCCTGTCCACCACCATCTGAACTGGTGGCCATCAACAAGATAAAATCATCCACCCCAAAGTCCATGGTGTCCATCAGAGGGCAGGTGGTTTCTGTAAGTAACTCATTTCATTCAGAAATTATGTATATTTTTTATATTCTTTTACTCTCTCTCCTGTGTCTGTATATACATTATATATGTGTGTGTGTGTGCATCTATATCATGCAAATAAGATTTCTTGCAGGAGGAAATAGAAAGGACAGCTAAAGTAAATGGGGAGGACACACTAGTTAGGAGTTTGAAAATAAAGGATGAAACGGCTTCCTGCAAGGTGTCCTTATGGAGGGGACTCAGCAAAACAAAAACTGCCGTTGGGAGTCATCTGGAGATAACAAACGTCATCGTACAGGTGTACAATGACGAAAAGTCTGTCTCTACCACGTCAAGATCCAAGATGCTGGTAAGGGAAACTTTTATATGAAATATATTTAGTAAATTTCCCATTACCCATTACCTTTCGTACTTCTTTGCCTTACTTTGCCAAAAGAATTTTTCTTCAAATTTATCCAGGTTTAGATTAACAGTGTCCAGTTTGAAAAATTGTAAATTTTTCATTGGTCATTCAGGACATTTGTCATTGGTCATTCAGGACAAAAAGAGACTGTAAATGGAAAACAGGAATACATGTACTAGTAATCTGGGGCCACCCTTTCATTAAAATCATGATAAAATCAAATGGTCCCCCCCCTCTCATTGATCATTTATGAAATACATGTATATCAACTTAATGAAGCAGCAGAAAGTTGTGAGATTTTTTTTTTCATTTGAATAAAGTTGATGAAACATATCAGGCGGAGTAAAGAGTTCTTTGTTAATTACATGTACTAATAACTTTTAGTGTTTTTCTGTGTGGATTGTAAAATGTTACACATGCACTAAATGTATATAAAGAAAAAAAAAAGAGAATAAATTTGTAGTATTTTATCATGCAATTTGTGGGGGGTGGGGGGGGGGGTGTAGAGACAAACTTTTCTCACTACCAATTCCTTTCAATATCAATTTTTTAAGCTTACAATACTATATTCTCTTAATATTACTTTACTTGAGTACAAAGTGGGGGGCCAACCTTTCTTTCGGCGAACATTTTCAATAGTAAAAGTATTGTTGATCAAAAAAGCCCCCCCCCCCCGGTTGCTACGTGCCTGCGGTAGGAATATTGCGTTATAATTTGTAACTGTCCAAGTATTAATTTTTCATGTCGCAATCATTCTCGATATCCATGGATTTTGTTTCAATTCTATTTCCACAAACGAAATATAATTGACACAAAAACGATGCTACTTGTATTTGAAAGAGGTCAACCAACACTGTGCATTTCCTCACAGTTTACATAATCTTTACGGTAGGAATATTGCATTAAAATTTGTAACTGCCCGGGTTAAAAAAAGCGGCTACCGTCGTAAAAGCAGCGATTAGCAATAAAAAGGGGGCTTCCTGTAATTCGGGTCATAAAACACATACTGGAAGATCATGGAAATCAAGTAAATTTAAAATTAAATGGTTATGTTGAAAACTTATCAGACACTGAAGTGATTGAATCTAATTAAGGTCTTTCGTTTCCAACGGAAGACCTACTGATTCTGTTGGTAAAGATTATTATTCTTTTTTTTCTACTTCCTAGACGCCAACTTTGAGGCCTCATATCTCGCTCATTTCTCAACAGATTTTGCTCAAATTTCAGAGGTTATAGACGTTTATAAACTCTATCAGAATGATGACTAAAATTTCAAAAAGTCACTTCCGGTTTTGAGTTATTCCCCTTTAAACGAAAAATCATAGGCTTTCGTTTCCGGATAAAGGCTCAGAGACCACAAAAGCTGCAGCAGAAATTTTACTTGTTTTAGATAACAAAAGGATTGAAGTTGTTTACATCGGTTTTTGTTTTTCAATTTCTGTATTCAAAATGGTGCTATATAGGGGTCAACAATTTGTATGCCTAAAACAGCGAAAATTTTTGAGATATTTTCCTTTTTATCTTGAAAACAAAAATATTTTGTTAAGACATGTTGAATAAAAGTTGTGCATAATTACAAGCGCTTTCATTTGATATCATTGAAAAGGGGCTGGCCCCTTAAATTAGGGATCTAGGGCCCTTGAAAGTGTTTGTTTAATATGTTTAATATCTAGAAAAGTATTGAGAATTTATAATACGTCAAATAAGCAAAGTTGTTCAAAATGTCAAGCTTTATCTATTGAGGTTGTCAAAATAAGTCCGGGGACGTCACTTCCGGTCAAACCGGAAGTAGTCAAAATGGCATATTTTTGTTGTTCTTGACAGGTTTTTGGATATCATATGTCACTGGAAGCTTAAATCTTAATTTTCCGTCCGTTGACGGAAATTCCAGTCAAACCGGAAGTTGCCAAAAAATGGCTTGACTTTGCAAAAATAAACATAGATTTGGAGAATTAAACCATTTTTCGACTTCTTTACTCTTTTTTTTTCATATGAAAGTTACTTCCGGTCAAACAGGACGGAAGACCTACTCGTTGCGTTGCTTTGCAACGAGCTCGGCTCTAGTTGAAAATAGTTATTTCTGGTCATATATCTCCTCAAACCCCACCCTGAGTCTCTCGACACATAAATTTATCATTTTTCTCTTTTGAAATTTTTTTTAATACTATAACTGTTATGATTGACTGTGTGAAATGATAACAATTTCACTTTGATTTAAAATCGGTCAAATTACATAAGATCGACCGACATTATTCTGAACTGAAATTTACAATTGCTTTTCTCTCAGGAGAAATATACATCAAAAACTTGCGCAAATGTCATAGAGTGTAAAAAACAGGAAGCTCGTGGGTGGGGCTAGTAATCAGCTACATCGTTGTTGCAACCAATGAGAATCAACGTCACCATTTGACAGTCGGTAAACAAGTAGCGTCGAGAATGTCACGCCATACTGAACGTCCATAAATTGGTTAAAAAACTACTAAGTTATTATTCTTGTATTCAATGAATATTCGTATTATTTCATTGTTGTAATCTTGAATGTGTTGCTGTGACTGTTCCTGATATTCAAACAAATCTTGTTACTGTGTACGAACACAGAATCTTTTCCAACATCAATTTTCCTGAAGGAACTACAATGCTTACTACAGGTGATTCAGAAAAAACACACAGCAAGAAGGATGTGGAAATAACGAACAGTATTGAATCTCAAAGTCCACAAAACAATACAAAATATGAGCAGAGCAAACACGGACCCCAGAAACATTAGAGATGGGATCAGATGCAATGGAGGAGTGGGCATTCCCTGCCGACCGGTCACACCCGCCATTTGTCTTTGTCATGATCAGGAATTAACAGAAAAAATCTGTCGTCAATGGAGTGTATAAATAATGGACTAACAATCGGTATGAAAAACGTCAGTCAGCATATGACTCAATGATAAATAGTATTTGCTGACAAGGTCATTGTATCGACCATAGAACGTACGAAATGATGACTTTAAACAAGACTGCTGATATTCTTGTTACGTCAACTTGCCTGTCAATAATTTACCTCGTTTGAGAAATTGTTCATAGGTAGAGCATGCTCTTGCGTATCTTATCAAGTGAGAAATATATACTCCGTATGCAAGTGATGAAGGTATATTGCTGCATAAGTGAGAACCCATCATACTCAGAGGGCTCAGGCGTAGGAATAAGCATCACTGTTCAGTGATTCAAAAAAGAAGGCCTAAAAAGGCAGAGCCAGGAGTCCATTTAGCCGTCAAAATGAAAGCTGAAGTAGCTTTCTCTTCTTATTATGATAGTCAACAATACATATTTGTGGTAAAATATAATTAAGATTATAAAAATACGAGTCAATACTTTTTCTAAACACCATGGAATAGTTTTTGCTGTTTGCAGATTGTAAACAGTCAGCAAATTATTTAATAGTAGCATTTCAATTCCGTTATATTTTTTCTTATTATGTGTAACATTTTATACGTTCAGTGAAGAAAAAGTCTGCATCCCGCATTGTAGAAAATGTAATGAATGTAGTTTCAGATATTGATGCTCCCCTTGCCAGTCGTCCAAGCCTGCAAACATGACAAGGAATGACAACAGGGTTAGACAGAAGCTGCGGTCACAAGATCCAGAGGATATAGATTTTGTGGTTATTTCAACATTACAATAACATACATGGCAAAGAATTATCTATTTACATATTTACATACACTGTCGAAATCCTATCCAGAAATTCTGCATTTAAAGAAGTTAAGATCAATGCATCAAAAAATGATGTTTTATTTAAGAATGAAATATACACTCCTGTATTTTATAGAAACTGATTTGTTTTGTAAATTTTCTAGTTTGGCATGGGGATCATGGAGCACCAAATGCCAGACTTCACACATGTTGATGTCTATGTTTCTGGTCGTAGACATCTTTGGAACTGGAGTGTGTTCGTGCTCTCCATTAGCAGCAACACAGATGTAGAAGGATGGCACAACAAGCTTAACGGCAGATTTGTCCAAAGAGGTCAGGTTCCCTTCTTCTTGTTGTTGGTGGAATTCCACAAAGCAGACCCCCCTTCAAGCTAAGGTGATCTCGGTAGGAAGATGGTGCGTCTCCATAAGAAAAGGACAGTACATAATAAGTGGAAAACTGTTTGCTGCATGGAAGCAATATTCGGAGGAAGAAATGACTACCTGTCAGCTTTTGCGGCGTTGTGCCAATGTGTATGGACCCAGTGACTAGACTATGATCCTTCCTGCTATCAATTTAACTTAGTATATTTATATACCATCTGTTTGATAGAGCGCCAGGTCAAAAACAAAGTATTAGTTTCATTCATTTCAATATATATATAAATGAATGTTTATTCGCTGCCTTTATGTAAATACAAGAATATTATTTACAGGTTTTGGAAAATTCGGGAAATATCCCGAAATGTTTTGAATACAGTGGTTGTTGCTTTTTCTTTATTCTCCCATAGTTGGATTATCTAGGTGATAAAAATTGGACAAATGGTCATAAACTCTAAATATTGGTAAACCATGATATGTTTCAGACAATTACTTTATCTCTACAGAGTTAAATGGAGCAAGGAGGCCAAACACTCTACACCAAAAGCTTGAAGTTCAAAGTAGTTGCGAGAGACCCAGAATTCCAGTACCGGAATGACAAAAATAAATTAAGGACATCAGTCAACTATTTTTTGGCAGACACCAGTATGGCTCTAAAATCCACAGTCCACGACACTTTCAAATTCTAAAGATTCAGGGTGGAAGAGTCAGCTATCGTCCTGAATATAAAGTTACGTATTTTGAAGTCACTCTTTTTCTAAATTTATTATTTTAATTGTTTAGTTACTATTCTACAGTATTAATGTAACCCCCGGTCACTCGTTCTATTTATGGAATAGTTTGTTAACACCCGGTCACTCATTAGGAGTGACGGTCCTTTGTTTATACCCCATCACTCCTTAGGAGTGATGGTCATTTAGTATATATACACGTACTTATTCGATACGGGGACGCAGTTTTGATATAGTTGTGCTGGGATATACTTCGCTCAAATATTGTTTCAGGATGAATTATACAGTGTTTTGTTGTGATGATTTTGGATGATTCTTAACTATGATTAGTGTGTAAATAAAATGTTAACCGATACTGACTTTTGATTTCCAAGGAGGGAGTAAATCGCCGGGAGAGATTAAATACCTGGATTACGCATTGAGCGTTTACTTATATTTTACATATTATTGCTACCTGCAATAAGAAATGGATTAATTAATTAATCTGACAATTGCTCGGACGTTACAATAATAAGAGGACCTAAAGTGTTGTTGTTACATCTTACACGACTTCCCAACAGTAAATGTAAATGTTCAGGAAAACATCGCAGAAGAGGAGAGACATATACTTAATCCACTTCCGGCTGCTGTGAAGACTGTCATCTATAACGATGAACAATGATGTTGTATACACTTATCAATGATGGAACTATTTTCGTCGGAACAATATGTTTGAGTCGCCGCTGACTACAGTAATATATCTTGAACTGATAGTAAGCATTGATCGAATATATTTAAAAAAGTATTAGAGGACACGGATATGAACAAATTATTGATAAACCAACTACAGATGGATACACCCTGATTGATCATGTGTATGTTAATGGACATATTAAAACAGCTGCTGTTGCTCTCCAAACGTACTACAGTTACCGTTATATGATTTCAGTAAAAGCAAAAATGTAGTCTTTTACATGATTGTAAGAGACGCATAGACATTAAGGTCACTCCTATGTGATTTCCCACATAATAGATTTTTCCAAGTTTTGAAGACATTGTCATCCGCGCATCACTATACAAGGGGGGAAATGGCGACCATGCGGTTAGAGAGTTTGTTTTTCTGGGTTTTTTTATTATTCAATTTAAATGCATTAGTTCTACTGATTCCGTGACTTCTCTTACTACCAATTCTACAGATTATTCTACAGATTGTATTTCTGATTTTTGTTCTATTGCGGATTCCAGAAAATCGCTTACTTTTATTTATTTTTAATTTATATATGAAGCATTTATTGTTCGGTTTGTTTTAGTACTTTTAGTACTTTTTGTATCTTTATACATGTTATATAAGAGTTCCAATTATGAAATAAGTTGTCTTAGTATCAATCACAACATTATAAAGTTAGTAAAGCTTAGGAGAATTTAATTGACATGTCAATAAAACTAGAACTGTCCATTAGGGACAAATACCCCCCGCTGGGTTTATCAGAGAAGGTGCCAATTCAAAAATACTTTATGGATCTAGAGGTGTTCACAATTTACTTACAAAAATTTGCAGTGAAATACAATTGCTCATCATGTTTCTTAATGAATGAAACAAAGGTGCAACCAAATGAAACATCAAAACTAATACATTGTAATTCCATTGTAACATTTTGTTTAAATTTTTTCATTTTATTTTTTTTTATTACTGCATTAAAAAATATATTGCAATTATGTGTTATGTCACTCTGCAAACTGATTGTTGAAAAAAAAACCATTATACAAAATCAAATTAATCTTGATATATCAATTTGAATTGCATTTTGAAAATAAAGAGCTGGTCATCCAGTGATGAAGTGCTTTGACAGACAATAAATTACAATTAAGAGAATAAGAGAAGAGAGATCTTTAATTCTTGTGCCTTATTCCCTGGAGATAGATAACACACACACTTGATAAGAGACTTCCAACACCAAACTCATTAATTTATCTTTAACTGGATGCATGCACAGTCTTTCTACCTTATGTAAACATCTACAATATTTTTACTGTCTGTAAAGGGATGTTTTATATGCTTGTGCGTCGTAAATAACGTCATAAATAACGATCTATGAACGACTATACCAACATTATAGCAGCAACAAGGATACACAGCGTAGGATTCCATAGGTAAATGCTTAATATTTATCGCTATTTGCGTGAAAAATCGATAGCGTCGGTTCAAGGTTCACCCAGTATAAATGGCGCGCAGTGACGCTAAAGTATAATTAAACTGTGTTTACGGAATATTCTATAATATTCCTCATAGTTATAATTTGGACAAATTAATTTTTCTGCTATATTGTGCTGACGATGTCAACTTTGATAGTTGAAGACTCGCATGTGAAATGGCTGAAGTCATTCATAGGAGCCGACCGTCCAGCTGAATCCGTTTTCGACATCTCCGGATCAAAAGAAGTGAATTACTTTAGATTAAGCGGATGACTTATTAACAAGGGTAACCATTTATCTGTCATTTTATCTGCAGTTAGACGCTACAACCCGCAGCACCTCATTGTGTTTATCGGGGGTAATGACCTAGATTCGCGTGACCCAAATTATAGTTCTGAGTGTGTCGTGTCGAAACTGACTGCATTTTTAACGCAGCTAAAACGAGGATTTAATCTGAAAAAAGTGACCGTTTTAAGCTTCATCCCGAGGTCCCTGACTAGAAACATAAACAATACCACCTACAACCAGAGGGTCAAAGAAGCTAACTCTCTTCTAAAGGATTATTGTTTCTCACACAGTTTAGTATTCTGGAGACTAAGGGGTTTTGCTGAAAGCCGCGACCCAATTTTGTATGATGGGGTGCATCTAAATAGTTTGGGGTATCATAAACTTTGCAGACAGATCAGGGGCGTGCTATTGGCTTAGCACAGACAGGGACCTTCATCTGCGGCAAAACAGCATTGAAGACAGGGGCTTCTGGCTATAATTTTGCTGTTCAAATTACTTTTTAAAACAATTTAGATCATAAGACAATAAATAATCATTTTACACATTAAACGTTTGTTTTATTTACATGTATATGTGTAAATTGCGTTAGTATTTTTAAAATTATATTATTAAAGGATAAACAATTTTTCACAGTCAAAGCACTATTATTGTATGCATGTATTAATTTCCTAGGCTAATATGTTCTCTATTTTTTCCAGTTAATGGTGTATATTTAGAGCAACAGACAAGAGTGTTCCAAACATTTGTATATATTTGTCCGAATACAGGTAACTGCTTTGTTCCTAATTTTCATTACAAATTTCAGCACATAGTTATATGTTAAGCTTTAGTGCTATGCAATTCCAAGTACATTCGCATTATGTGCAATGTATTTCATAACGCCTGAGTACTATGTTATATTCTCAGTATACTTGCATTATGTGCAATGTTTACATTAAGCCTCAGTGCTATGTAATGTTATTCTCAGTATACTTGCGTTATATGCAGTGTTTATATGAAGCACTTATGCTATGTTTTTCAGTACCTTAGCCTCAATTAGTCTGTGCTATGATATTCACGGTATACTTGCAAGGTGCAATGTTTACAAAAAGCCTAAGTGCTATGTAATTGCCATTCATATTATGTTGATATAAAGCCTAAGTGCTATCCTGGCCACAATATTCTAGCATTATGTGCAATGTTAACATGAAGCCAATGTGCTAAGTTATTCTGGTATAATTTGCTGGTTATAGGTGCATTGCTCACATAAACCTAAGCTAACTGCTATGTGTAATTTGCATAATACATAAGGTAAGTCTTAGGGCTATGATATTCTCAATTTATTTGCATAATTTTCATAGTTTATGCAATGCCTCTGTGCAATGTTATGCCCAGTATATTTGCAAGGTAGTTTAAGCCTGAGTGATATATATATCGTACACTAGTACAATTATATATAAAGCTCAATGTCAGGTAATTAATGGTTGAACTGACTAAGCGTTAAAGCTTCTTATGAGGTTAAGAATTCAACCAGTCAACATTTAATCTGATTTTTCTTATTGTACTTTATATTCAGCTTCTAACACATGGCGTCAACACCTAAGAGGAGAAGAAGCAAAGGAGCATCGGCACAGAACAGCGATGGTAATCAGATTCCGCCCACTGCAGGAATGCCGCAGAGGGACCAAGATGACATGATTAATCATGCATGGCTGCCATTCTGCCAACCATAGAGGACACCTTTAAACGATGTATGGCGGATAACCATAACAGGAGCAGTCAAACAACTGGACAAACATCTGCCACAGAAACGCAGCCCGAGTAGCCATCACAACCCAAACCTTCGGAACCAGTCTCTTTAGAGTCAGTCTCTTTGGAGTCAGTATCGCCCAACCCTCCACTCTTTGAGGAAATCACGACGCAATGTACAAACACATTAACCCAACCTACAAAAGAGGGGGACCCACACCCAGCAACCGGCCTGATATTGGGGGTTGACGTAAAGATAAGGGCAAAAATTCATGCCAACGAGTTTGTAAAATTTTCTACTCTATTGCCGAAAGACCTCGATGATGAGGAAACTAAAACGTTTAAGTAGAAGACAAAGATGGGCAGTTAGTCTTCGTTAATCAAATGACAAAGGCCCGCTGAAAACAATTCACAAATGGGTGGAGGCTTTCCACATATTCGTCGCGATCTATACAGAGAAATTCCCCCTTGAAATCGGTTAACTGATGACATATGCACAAACAGTGCAAAAAATCGCGGATTCTTGCGGGGACCAAGCGGCCTTACTCTATGATGAAAAATTTCGTCGTTGGCGTGAAAAGGAACCCTCCTCATGTGACTGGGACAAGAAAAATATGTGTATCAGGAGGCATTAGTTTCTGGGTAAGACTTTAAACTAAAAAACAAAGAGCAGCCCTTTGGTGCCCAACCCAAGCAGCGTAGCTATTGCTATTCCTTCAACAATCTAGGCTCGTGCAACAAAATCAACTGCTCCCACCAGCACGTCTGTCGGTACTGTTCGGGAAAGCATCCTCGCCAACAGTGCTACAATCGTTCAAAACAAGGTTTCTCAAAACAAAATGCTAAAAAACCTACAAGCACATCCAACAAACCAGCAACCTTGTCTAAGTAAAAAGGATAAAACGATTATAACACCAATTAGAGTTGATAAACTGTCTAGTTGTCTTGAGAGCTACGATTCAGCTTTGACTTCATTTCTAATACAAGGGTTTACTTTCGGTATTAAAATCCCATATCAGGGTCAACGTGCATTTCGGATATCGAAAAACCTCTCCTCTCTTAAGGGTAATGATGAAATTCTTCATAGTAAGCTCATAAGTGAAATCAGTGCAAACCGTATCGCCGGACCTTATCTGAGCCCTCCATTTCCCAATATTCAGATATCACCTTTAGGATTGGTGAACAAAAAAGCAGCTGGGGAATTTCGATTGATCCATCATTTATCTTACCCTGAAGGGGATTCGATTAACCATAACATTCCTAAAGAGTTCTGTACAGTTCAATACCAGTCAGTAGACACCGCCATCACAATAATCAAGCAATTGGGAAGGGGTGCTTTCATTACCTGTTATCAGTTTAAGACCACTGAGTCGTAAAGGTTATTAATAATATCAATTTTTATTAGTAGGATATCCAGGTGATGATCTGTGTACTTTAAACTCTCACAGATACGTGACACAGAACTGTGTTTTA